CTCATTTCGAGAAAATTTATTTCATGTGAAGTAAATTATATGGATTGGACACAGAAAATACTAATACGCTACTGTGTAGCTCATGGATATCGAATAAAACTTTACCTCTTCTGATAAGTTATCTCGCGTTCTAGATTTTATATTACCCATACTAATACCTCTTCCGAAGATTCTCACTCATCTGTTCGAGAAGAAAGTAACTTTTTCCTTTCGACATATTAATATTATCTTCATTTTCTTTTGCGACTGCTTCTTGTTTGGTAATCGGAATTGGCCTAAAAAACAGAGTTAGGCTATTAATATAAATAACATATTCGGACGAAATTCCTTTCTTTGCTAAATTCTGTAAATTTTATCAACTCAAAATTTCACTGTTGGGACCAAATTATCAATATTAAATCTGGTACTAGGATTTTCCAAGACCTAGACTTTTATCATTCCATATGACAGATTACCATTTTCGAACAGTCCAATCTCGCTTTTCAGTACTTTATTTCAAGCTTTGCTAATCGTTTACATTTATGAGCTGGCATACAAAGAATCTGCATTTTGGTACAATTTTTCGTAATAGTAATGGTTTTGTGGAAAATTTAATATTAAATTTCAACATTTTTTTTTTAATTTCTTCAGCTGATTTCTTATTACGTGGTATTGTCTATAACAATAGTCCTTAGAATTTTTTGACTTCTGTTAGTCAATAATGTTGTACCTCAGTTGGGGACGTGTCTCAGTTCTGGACTGAGACAACCGAGTTCTGGACTTGAATGTCTGGGTTCAGAACTGGGTTATGGACTGAGTGACTGGGTTTTGAACTGAGATATAAGACAGGTCCCGAAACAGACACAACACTTATCAAAGTATAAACTTGTATAACAAAAGATGCTAAAAAAATTAAATAAGGGTGTTGGAATTAATATTATATTGCATCAACAACAGATAAGACTTCAAGAATCGAACTTGTTACTGAATATTTTACAATGCTTTTATATGCTAGTAAATTAATTATTTTATGACAAAAAGAGTTTGGCAACAAAATTTGCAATTTTTTATAGTATGGTTGGCATAGACCAGCCGTCTTGAGTACTACAGCTGAACATAACATGTACCGTATTTCTCCGACACGTGTACCAGAAGTATTCTCTTGTTGTTTGCATATCCAATAAATTGGCTGACTTTATTTATTATGGCGTACACATACAATTTTATCGAGATAAGTGTAAATATAAATTTTACAAGTTTTTTATTGGTATTGTTCATGAATTTTTTAATTTTAATATTTTTTGATACAGATGCTGTGACGCTTTCGGCAGGCATCTTCATTATTATCATTAATAAGAACAAGCATATACTAGGATAAACAATATAGCAATAATTTTATAACCAATCAGTATAATAAGAAACACGACGATGTAAAAACCTTAAATTTCTAATAATAGTATATTGGAAGATTGAGATCGATTGTTCTGGCTTGTACCAAACTTCGTTAGATAGTTCAAGTAAAAAATTTATTATTTCATAGTTCCGTTAAATCTTCGTTCACTTATTATGTAATATTTACAAACCTTTAATTATTCTGACTGCTCGCAGGTTATACACGATAGTATTGTTCTCGTGTAAAATTACTGGTTATTTTAATGTTTATATGGGGGTGTGCTACGTGTGTAGCAAATAAAGACTTCTATTGATGCCTAAAGGAAAAGAACATTTATTCCGACAGAAGTCAATGTATGGAAATCCGCCCCTTCAATAACATTTTTATTCCAATAGTGTATACTGGTTATTAGAAAACACATTTATTTTGACTAATGATTAATTTTCGAGATAACGTTAATATCAAACAGATTTCTTCCGCGTTTCGATATCTTACGTTAGACACACGCTCCACACTCATACTTGTATCCAATGAAAACCATCAAAGTTGCGTAAGCTCGCATTTATGATTTGCTTTGTTCATTATTTAATCATATTGTTGCGTGTGTGCGGAAATACAACCTTGCATTGCAGTACTTTGTGTGACAAAATTTCGTTTAGAAAAAGTTTAGGTGTAAATCAACGGAAATGCCGAAAGCGAGTCATCTAAACAACGCGGGCTGGTTAGTAAACAAATGCTTTGGTCAAAGGGAATAACCAGCCCAACTTTTTTCATTATAAGAAAGATGCAAATATTTGTATAAACTTTCAACTCATAAACAAAGTGAATTGTCAATCAGCGGCTTATTAACTATCATTAAAGGAGACAAATAAAAGGCAATTATCAATTGACGTACAGACAACCGTTTACGTAAATGTAGTCGATAAACGTTCTTTTAACATGCGTGTTGAATAATCGAATGCACACTCTTGGCTTTGTAATTATTGTTTATTTTAAATTGCTTATCGCAGATCTCTTTCTTCATGCAAAATTTAAGTTTACGTTAACAATATGTGCATGCTGTAACAATAGTATTCAGGATGGGCCGCTATTACTAATCGACCAATCAATACAATTAATTAATTATTGAATTAATTAACATGACTTCATAGTGTTAATTTTTGAGTGTGTGAATCAAAATTTTATCCGTGCAGATTACTTTGTGTAAAAAATAAGGTTACTCGTGGTGCGGTGAATGAGAAATAGTGTAACATACATGATTGTTTCAAAGCCATGCATAACTACCTTTTATAAAAACTATATTTGCGAAACAATTATCGCAAGTCGAATGACGTAAGTTGTGAGAAAATGTGTCAAATCAAATACCGGATTACGAAATAGATAAAAATTGTTCGTTTGCCCTTTGTAATTAGGTTTATGCTCCAAAATAATTCGTTATCTGGTTGGTTAACCAACAACAAAGTGAACACATATTATCTGTTTGACGTCCGTTTACTACCTAAATTGTAATTATGTCCTACCGTCTGAGCCCATAAGATTATTATTAACTCTATCGGAATAATCTAATTGCGTATTTTCCGAAATTATTGTCTGGTTTGAACTGTTAATTATTCCAAAGTCAAAAAACACTTGTTTTGAAAGTTTATCTGTAAATTGTAATGATTAATAGCTTAATAATTTAAATATCGCTCACGTATCTTTTAGTTATTACGTCAACCACGCTGCAATTAGAATCTGTGATAATAATATACGCCATGTTTAGATAAGCAAACTCAATCATGATCTCTATCGAGTATAACATGTTAGCGATCTTTAACAGATTTTGATATATTTGAATTATCGCCACAAGTCTGCAAGTTACTAGTGACTGGCTTATTAAAATTGCGATAGTGATATTGGAACAGTTTCTTAAGACGTAAACTTATCATACATTTGCATGCATCAGATAATTTATATTATACGGGGTGGTTTACTTTATTGACTGCTCATTTTCGGCTGATAACACTTGGACAATTTTTATTAATACAGTAAATTGATTGAAATAAACTAAATAATAATAGTAATAAACAAAGATATAAAATAAAGTAAAAATAAAATTTCTCCCAGAGAAATATTTAGAAACAAATAATTGACGGCTAGCCGGTTGGAAGATTTACGGTATTGTGCTAATACCATCGATGAGAGAGTTTGCGAGAAAGCTATGTACAAGATAGAAAGCAAATATTAAGTATTTAGATAACGTGTGTAATTTATTTACACTGGTTGGTAACATACCGATGTTATTTTGGTAGTTTTGTGTGTGCTAGTTAGTTTGATATGTACGCGTAGAGACGAAGAGGGTTCGAACGAGGATCCTTGGACGTACGAAATCGAAGTGACGAATGGGTCGTAAAAAGCGAGACATGGTATTCGGAGTATTTAGATTTTATTGCATATTGGACATTGCTGCTTTCGAGATGTTCCTGCTGAGTTAATTTTATCATTGAAAGATTGAGACGTTGTCGTCCCTACCGAAGTAGGACAACTGGTTTTCCACTATGCAAACGGACTGCAGCTTTTTATAAGAAATTTGTGCACACAAAATTCGGACCTTGTATTGCATTTTATGTTGGGAAAAATAATCTTGGATTTTTAAGTTTAATAACACCAACATATAACACCTAATTCATATTTGCGTAAATCTGTGTGATACTTAATTAATAATAGTGGTTGTTTATATTATGAGATTTTCCCCCCGATTCCGTAGATTCATATTACAGTTTTTGGGGGCAAAATATGATTTACACCGCAGATAATAGCATTAGGTTGTTTGTACTTAAAGAAAAACGTTATCAATCACATCTTCGAATCGACATAGTCTTGCTTCTATTGTCGAATATAGAACATACGATTATAGAATTAAAATAAAAATTTATCGTAGAATTAACTTGACAATAGTATTTTCTTCGGTGTTTCTTCCCGAACGTCATTATCTATAAGTTTTGAGACAAAGACTCGTTAAAAGCCTTATTTCAGTTTCTGAACTTGGAATTGATTATTATTATTCGTTGTCTGTGAATACTCTTTGTTCTTACTCATTAAGAGCAAATGCTTATTGAGCTACAGAACAGACTTTTGTTAAACGTAATAATTTTTTTTCCGGAAGTAAAGCCCCTTTTTTACGGGGCCTGTCATTCCATTCATTTGTCAATCTTTTTTAGGTTACGTTATCAGTTATCCAGACAGAATAAAAGAATAGCCGAGCATTGTTATAATTAAACCGTAACTTATTCTCGTCTTTCGCATACAAATCCCATGAATGTCAAACAAACACATGGCTGATCAATCAAAGAATTGCAAGATGGCTATCGCTTTATAGTTTGTTATTTGTCAACCTTAATCTCAATCGAGCAATTTTTTTCATTGTATGATATAATATACATTTGAAGAAAAACAAACATGGAAAACCTATATTATTATTATAACAATACGAAAAGAAGACAACAACAAAAGAATCAGAATGAGTAAAAAAGGAAAAACGAACGTCGACTCTTCGTCGTCTTCGTCTAATTCCAAAGAACTGGTATTTGATGTAATCGTCAGTAAGTAATGAGTGATATAACTGTTACATAACTTTGCAGATGATATCTCACCTATACGAATCATCTGACGGATCGTCTGACGGATCATCTGACGGATCATCTAACGGATCATCGTCGACTAGAGCCGACTCGGACACTAATTGGCCACTAGAAAAAGCATGCATTGAAAAATAATTAGCAAAAGTGAAATGGGTACTTTCCCTTCACTAAACTATATGTTGCATAAATTAGCATATACGAACCAACTACAGCCAATGCACTCGTCTTCTTCCGCCTTTACTGGTGACGACTCCCCCGTGAAGTAAAGCAATATTAGCGCCAGCAGGAGAAAAAATTGTCGAGTCATTGTTTATTTATTCGGGCTTTTTTGGAGGAGAGAAAAGTATATTTGGAGTAATTTGAACTTTCTTCGAAAAAGCAGTGCAGTGCTTTGCGATTGAAACTAGCGAGCAATCAGTTATTTATTGCAGAAGTTAATAGCTGCGGGCATTCTATCAACATTTGTATTACACCATTGTATAGTTTCTGTTCGAATGGAATTAACAAAGGTAGACGTAATTGACATTGTTAATGAAAATATACAATACTATTATATTAACGTATATATTGTATAATACGGCGATGACTTTCAATGGCTTGTCTAATTTAAATTGTATACAGTATGTTAATATAAATCTAATATGTTGTAGACTGCAATATTTGAAAACGATCTATACCGAATGTAAGCAACTCATTATTCCCATTCAATAACTTACCTTATCTGTGTATAAACTCCGGTTATCGTATATAGTATTCTAATGAATATACTCTTGCAGAAATACAACTCCGTTTTGGAAGCAACAAACAATAGCTATGCTGGCCATAAGCCACTATTATCTAGTCAGTGCTGCGCTGTAAGCATCGTTCAATGAACAGCCTGTAATAATTACAAACATACATGTATGCTGGTAAAAGTATTTTGAGAAAATCACACGGGTATGTTTCACAACAATAGCCAAACATAGTATTGCTAAGCCTCAACAAGATGACGATACTCTTATCAGCCAACCATCGTTAGACATTGGTGTCATTAACCGTCGTAAAAATAAAGTTCTGTTATCTGTACTACGGTTGGTGGAACACTCCTTCCCAAACATAGTTCCGTTGGATATACCTTTCTTGTCTGCGATGTTGAATGGGCGTTAATCTTCATGTCATGCGCGATGCGGAATAAGAACAATGAAATGACAAGCCTAACTTGAAACGTTTATTCTATGAGAGCCTGGTTCCTGCATCTAGCCAATAAGTAACTAACAGGTATTTATGTAGGGTATCATTTTACTTTAAGTGCTCGTTATATACTACACACGCAATTGCCATTGTCAGATAATCCAGTTAGCAAATAGCTGTGTTGTGAGATTTCAGTATAGGAGTAAATAAAGATGACTAAGCAAAATAGAATGAAAAGATGGAATTCCGTAACTGAACGAGATTCTAGCGAATTCCGTATGATTATGTGTACACAGTCATCATCCATAGTGAATATTGATAGCGGTATCTCAAAAGTTACTTAAATTAGGACTAGTTTGGCTGCACGTTGGCACAATAATTTTGTCCAAATAAAGTATGGAGAGCGGACGTTTGATCCTTGAACTCCGTGTTAGTAGAACACACACAGCATTTCCATTGAATAATCTGGTTGTCGGTGAAAAACGAGCAGAATAGAACTAGACAATTTATGTGCAGTAATTTAAGATCGTTGTTTATTATTTTTATCATTACTTTCACAAAATTATCTAATCTTTGGCCAGCATTACATAATACGGAGTAAAGTATGATTGATGAATAGTTGGCTTAAAAGACGACAGGTAACGATTATACTATATAAAACAGAGCTTATTGTCATAGTTAATTAATTTATGTCTATAATGCTCGTCTCCATACGCAAAAATTTGGCCGAGTAATTTATAGACTATAATGGCAGACGTTAGTCCAATAGTTGTAATATATTTGTTTATTTCGTTGTAGATTATACAACACAACTCATTTACGTTAACTCTATGTAATATAAAAGAGAAGAAAAAATGGCCTTTTTTTTCTGAATAAGAATTTTTAATAGTTTGGGGTACAGTTCTAAAAGATGTTAATACACAAAGTGCTTATAATAAATTTGAGTGTGTATTATATATACATGTATTGTCTATTCGATATGCAGATATGGACTGTTATGGTATGGTAAATACAAAAAAAAAGTATCATAAAAATCCTTGTTTGGCTATTTATAATTATATACTAACACTCCATTTTAAAACGCTTACTTCATTGCATACTGACCATTCTCTATTGAATTAAATGGAAAGTCCATTGACCACAATTACATTTTATGGAATACGGAACAGATAAGGGATGTGATAACATACAGCATACGTATCTGTAGCGGTTGTATAATTTAAATAGAAACAATAGCAAGCAATTTATTTTTTATAATAGTATTCACACTGTGTCAATTTAAACATTATATAAATCTCCTCACTTTCCTCGTAAACACTTTCTCATGTAAAATAATACACCGGTTGTTGTCTTTGTCTTGGCGGTAATAACTTGGATTAAATGTTTCCCGATTTCTTGTCTATAAGTTAACAATGTAACTTACCGTTGTTATATCTGCTCTTAAAGGTGCTAATTTGCCGCCAAGGTCGAGAGAAGATTATTTATTCAAATATGGTACCAAAACTTATCAAAATATGGCTACATTACAAGTAAAAATATGGACAAAAAGGAGTAAGAATAATTTACAGCTTTTCATAATTGCAGCTGCACAGCTATAAGGCAGTGCGGCTGTGCGGTTATTTTACTAAATTTTAACTTGATTTCATTTTGTAGTGCACTAAAGCATCCACTTTATGCATACAAAAATATGTGACGCCAATGCCGTAATAAAAATTTTGTTTTCCTTTTTCGTTGTGTAATCTCATTTAAGTCGAATAATTTGTACTGTCGTGCTGAACAAACTTTTGTATTGCTGAATGAACGTTTCGTATTATCGTACTACTTTGCTGAATAAACTATCTATAAATTTATTGATATTATATTTCTACACGAATGCTTTTCGAATAAAGTGTGTTACATGGTATTGATAATGCAGTTGGCTCGTACTAGAGATGTAGTTATAACAAATTGTTTAAATTTCTAAGCAAGCAAAGGCACTTGTAGTCTAGTAATGGGAGTATTCATAATCGTTGATAATAACATAGGTTAAAAACATTGTGTTAGAAAGAGCAAAGCAAATAGTTGTATCTTCAACTGCTATACACACTGAATAGTAAAGAGCATAATAACATAATACATACAGCTACGGAATTTGTGCTATCAAATTAGTTTACTTAAATAATCGACAGTTATCAAAGCAGTCATGGTTTCTAATCAAGCATTATTTATCTTCTTTGCCTTTCGAATGCTCTGCTCTAATAACATTTGTGTTGTGTTAAGTTATAAATTTATTTTAGTTTATTCTCTCTGGTAAAAACGTACTGGTAAAAGAGCAAACCCTTTTTTTATCAGCGTTGGATAGAACGAACTTGCCATCTTTGTCAGAATTTTGACATAATATTATTGTTAATTCTATATAAACACGTTTAGTGTAGTGAGAATTCCCCGACCGATAGACATTGGAAATTAATTCCGTCAAAAAAAAAATCAACCTATTAACTCATATTCAATGGTTCGAATAGGAATTCCAGTTTTACGGTGAATATCTTTGGGAGATTGGATGTTATTCTGCCAGAAATGTAGTATGGTCTAACGTTGGGTTTCAAGTCGAGAATTTACCATATTGCAAAATTAATTCAAAATCAAAACTATTAAAAGTTTAAACGTAAAGTTTGTTTACAGTTAGCGCAGGTGTTTTATACGAAAATAACAAAACAAGACACGTAAACAACGCGTGTCTAAATTTATTAATAAACTAATGGTTATTCTATAAACCACAATTACTTTTGAGACACACTGTACATGATAAACGCAATCAAGCACACCTAAAATTCGAGACGGGCGCAAAACGCCTTTTATTTTCCGTGACCGCACAAGCAAGCCATAATTAATATTTAAATTTAATTAATTCTTAAAATATTAGAAAAGCATCTCATGTTTCGAGACGTCTCCCAAGAAAAGACACATCGAAACAGCGTGCGTGTCTGACTACTTTAAATAATAATCCGGATAAAAAAATAATGTATTTTTTCTTCATCGCTTGAAACATTAATTCTTTGACTCTAAACACCCAAACGTCCTCACAAAAACTGTCGGCCAACATAAACGGGTCACTTAATAATAGTACGTAAGTTGATTAGTTATTGTTTAATTGGTTAGTTATAGGAATACCCGATTAGTCGAAAAACTAAATCGAAGATTGCCCATTAAATAATAGGCTGGTTATTCCTCTTTGACTTTGCGATAGAATGACATCCGAACGCTCATCGTAAATACTCTAATTTAGATACGAGTAGAAAATACTTGTATGTGGAGCTAAATTAGGTTGCACCTCGTGTCGGCCGAACTTACGTAATAGATTAATCGCTTTCCCAAACCCCAATTAAAATGCTGACCACGATAAGTTAGAATGTACTAGAATATTTACTTATGTTGCTTATGGTAAACGCCATTCCATATGATTTTATCAGAATTGTCCCTGCACACTAACACTGACACCTCTCTGGCCAGTTCGTAAATATTTCGATAAAGTGCCCCTGGACGCTTATCAGGATCAGCATCACAACATTGCTCGGCAAGTTCCTTGTACTTCTTTGGTGCAGAATCAGGCATCGATGGTCGCAGTCCATTCATAATATCATATATTAAATCTTCATCAAGCTGTCTATCTCTAAAAGGTGGTTCACCAGTAGCAACCAAATACATAATGATACCAAAAGAATAGACATCTGATTTCTGAGTAAATTTGCGAGTACGAAAAACTTCCGGCGCAATAAATGGTAAAACGCCTTCGATGTTTGCATTTGACTTGAGTGAATTCACTGATCGTGAAAGGCCGAGATCGCATATTAACGCTTCTATCACATTATTCCTTTTGTGCATAACAATGTTTCCGCCGTGAAGATCGCAATGCACTAACCCCATTTCATGAATATTTCTCAGATAAAGTGCAATATTCTCCAAATGATGCAATTTATCCGTCCACGTCAATTTGTTAATATTCCGATTCAAATAAGACAAAAGACTACCATTGTTAGCATATTGCATAACAATCATGTACTCTTCTGTTCCTGGGCGTTGTGTGACTCCATAAATTTTAAGGAAACTAGTGTGCATGCACTTGACATGATTACTAAACTGTTAAATAGAAATAAATACGGTGTGTCAAACCAATATCATTTACCAGTTCTTTGCTTACCTCATGTATAAATAAATTCATCATTTCATCAAAACTCTTAAACCGTTTGAGTACAACGGTTGCCCGCCTATTCATATTACCATATTTGGCAGTATAAACTGTTCCATGGCTACCGGACCCAATTTCTTCGATTTCGGAAATGCTGTTATACGGCAAGTACTCGACAGGATTGCCAGGTCCTGTAAACCTATCCACTATTGCATGTACATTGCGGTAGAACACTAAATAGCATTCCTGAGTATATGGCTTCCGAGTGATCCCAATTACCCAAATATTATCCGGTGTTAATGTTTCTGGGTACTCTTTAATTAGCTGTTTGAGCAAATAAATAAATTAATTAATCTGTTTTAAATACGCAACATACAATCTGCATGAAGTGAAATAATTTACCTGATGAAAATCAAACGACTGATCGCTTTGTACATTTACTAACTTTTTGAGTGCCACATTAACATGTGTCAATTCATCCGCCATCCAATCTGCTGTATATGTGCATCCATGGCGTAATGATGTCATGTTTCGTATGTTTCTCAATAGCGAATATTCAATCCATTGTATATATACATCATTTTCGGTACTCGTATTCTTCCATGATTTCATAATAAATAAATCCAATGACCTGTCTCCCGTGGTCCAATCGAGCGGTCTCGGCGCTTTACATTGGAAACAGAATAGCTTTATCTTAGACTCTAACTTGCGTGTACATGCCAGACATAATGCAGTCTCTGCGAGCTGCTTTATTAAAAAATACTTCTTTCGCCAGTATGTGAATCCGATGCTAATCCAAACATCTGTGGTAAGAATATCAGAATGCTTATCACATAGCTAGTGGTGCAATTATACATATTAATAAATCAATAATTATTTAAACTATTCAGCAAACATGACACATAAAGAAATCGTCTACCTCCGCATAATACGAATCATGTATCTTATCCGTTATCTTGAGTGGAACCAATTTGATAGCCTCCCAAGTAGGTAAACCATACAAGAATCCACGCTCAGCCCCATATCCCCTATCATAAATGCAGTCAAATGAAATCCATTCTAAATAAGCATCGTTTGGTGAGTTTGTTTGTAATTGAGATTCTCAATTAACTCGTCGAGTTGCTTGTTGTTGCTAGTCCACTCATCGGATAATTGCATATGACCACAGATGCACCATACAGGACTACATCGGAGTATTCCGCATGCAGTACAAAATCCATATCGAGAGTAACAATGGTAAAAGAGTTTATCAGCAACCATGTAATAGTTGTTATTATACTTGGTAAACCCCTCTATCAGTTTGTTGCGATTCTCAAGCCATACGGAATGTCTTTTAAAGTTATTGTCATCATCTTTGTACTTGTGAGTCGGAAGCGAGTATCTTCTAGCCAATTCATTCACATAGGTCGGTGTACATATTTCTTCGCTTCCAAGTAGTAGCAACATTAGCTGGTTTTTATGACTATTCGTTTCCTTTCGAACAGCGTAACGAATAAAGTCAATTGGGCTTGAATTTACGTCGCCAATCTGCGTGTTAGGAATCCATTCGAGTTTATGATCACTTGTTAAGGATGATTGAATTAAGCCGTCAATCGCCTCTGACATTGTGTTCTGAAGCAAAGGTTTCTCCGCATTTACATTTGTATGCAAATGAATTCAAAATGATAACGTATAGCTCCTTGGTACATAGGTATCACCAACATTTCCAAATTAATGAGAACAATAGTACGGTAAAATTAGCGAGACGGTAGCTTAGTTGGAGTTGTCTTTTATTCCTTATCTTAATATCAAAGTACTAGTTCGTATTCTCATTCAACGCACTTTATTATTTTTAATAAGACTCCAACGAACAATAGGCCGTCAGCTTAATCCACCGGCAACTTTATGTTTAGTGACTTTTGTGTATCACACCCATATAGAAAAGATTAATAGCAAATCCTAAGCTCACTTGGTAGAACATATTACTTGATTGATTAGAACATGAATGTATGTAGAACTGCTTATTATTATACAAATTGTTGTTTATTATTGTGCAAATACAAAGTGCATTTGTTACAACAAGCAGAATATACAATAACTGCTAGATTCATTGCCACATACAGATTGCAATCTTTTCAGTAACCTTATTTATATTGGCAGCACCTGGTGATTATAATTGTTACTGTACATAGCGATCATAATAAGCCATTTAAATCCTGATATTCTTGTATGCTAACTCATTATTTTTATTAATACTGTATCATTATATTTACATTACACATCATAAAATTGCATATTAATATTATAGTTATTACTTTGTCTTAAATTCCATATGCATCCTTAATAGAGATTATGTACTGTGGAACATATAAGGGCGGAGTGAATTAAGTAACATTGTTCTATGATTTACTGCACATCTAACAAACCACAAATTAAACAGATGTTTCTGTGATATTAATATGCACTAACTAGCTGTTTGAAGATAATCACTTGCAGCACTAAACACGACCATTACTATTACTGTGCTGATACATAGAATTTGGTTTGCATTTTTGAGAACATTTTTCTAAGATGCTTATGTCTAGTACAGTAATAAAAAGGTTTACCTTGTTTATGCAATCCTTATAAACCATAAACCAGTCAAATGAATACACATGTGAACAGTAATTTGGATATAATAATAACTAAAATATTATACATAATTAAATATAAATTACAATTTTCTATGTTTTTTATCTAGTACTAGTAAATGTTACATACTATTACTTATACTTTTAAGTAACATTGTTCTATGATTTATTGCAAATCTAACAAGCCATAAATTACAGTAAACAGATGTTTCTGTGACATGCACTAGCTGTTTGAAGATAATCACCTGCAGTGCTAAAACATGACCATTTACTATTACTATTTATTTTATAATAGTTTTTATAACATATTAATATTAATATATGATTTTATTATTGTTATTATATGCGCGTACACAGTAATTATTTTTCCAAATAACAATCTAGCAATGATTGCTTTTTTGCTTTATCCATCAAATATTCAAAAGTAGATATCTTGCGACACAGAACATGCAGTTCTAGTTCATCTGAAGTAAAATACTTCGTCAGGAGATTGCTCTTGGAACTGAATAAGGCCTTTCAGGTGAGCCAGTGCCTCTATCTTAGACACTACAATTTCATTTCCTTCATGATAATCAGTGTCTGAGTACAGTCTCAGATTCTAGCATAACATCAGCCTTAACCATAGACACTATATCAGCCTCAGTCAGATTCTCTTCAGTTGCTAATGTTATCTTTACAAAAAGCACAAATTTCACGTTTAAGTAAGTCACTGATAGACGTTCGCTTTCCTGCTTTCTTCGACATTTTTTCTCTTTTTTATTCTTTAAAATGACGTGTCTGTTAAATACTGTTAATAATACTGTGTTACATTTCAAAGTACAATACACGTTTACAATTTATTATTATCAGTTGATCACGTTTATCCTATCAGATTGCATAAAGCATGTGATTGTTTTTTGCTAATGTCACTAAAGGGGAATTTTACTATAACTGCTATGAAATCCGTCTTATGGGCAGTATGTGTGTATATAGGGGTAAATTTATTATGAAATCAGTTGGTTCCAAGAAAAATGTGACTGTAAGGGGGTTGTGACTATATTATTACCACAAAAGCATGGATGAAACTTTTATAAATAAAACCTTTAGCATGGGACTTGATCAAGAACACTTTAATGATGTCATTAGAATTGAAACCAGAGATCAGTCTTCTTATTATTATGAAGAAACAATTCCTCAGACACAATTAAAAAGTGCTTATGTCACCAAATTTTAAGTTACCTATCTCTCATTTATTACTTGGAGATCACTTTCCAGAATGGAGAAGAAAGAGAGCAATATGCATAAACTGCCAGCATTTATGACTTTCTTTCAGGATGATGACTCTGATCATAACAATGAAGAAGATCTTCCACCAGAAGAAACTCTCAAATTCATCCTTAACAATCAAAGAAGCTGGATCTTGCCCTCAAGACAAAACATTTACAAATATATCCACAAATGTGATGGCAGTCAAAAAGAAGAAAGATTATCAGCTGTAGAGAAAGCTGTATTATGCTATGGTTTATCACAAATAATTGATTTGTCAGCTCATATGAAACAATGGTTTTCTCTCAAAGATAGAAGATTTATGATGAAGGATTACATGTCTTTATTACAAGTTCCCTGCCTGAATGACAAAGAAACTTCCTTTGTCACAACTATCAAAAATGTACACAAATATACATGTTGATTAGTTTTTCTTATACAGATGGTACTTGAAAAAAGAATAAACAAAGCATGTGAATTTTGTGCTAGAAAATTTACTAGCTCTGAGGTGAACAGCTACATGTGAAAGATTAGTAAAGTATACTTAGATTAGTTAGTATTTTATATTTATTCAACTAAGTGCTATGCCCCCTTCTCAGTCTTGTCACATGTATATATTAATATATGACTCGAAAAACAGCTTTAGCAGTCCACGTAGCTGTGCTGAATAAAGGGCCCACCAAATCAACTAAGTGCTATGGTAATTAATGGAGGTAATTTATTTGATTATTGGTGAAACTATATGCAAGTCTTCTGCAACTACTACATTATCTCTCCATGTTTATCAATGCATGAATCATTTTACAATCCATACTAATACAACAAGTCAACATAAGCATGACAAATGAAGATTTAAATGTGGTGAGCCTGACCTGAGGGTTTAGGTTCTTCTCAGCATTGCTTCAACACAGGTTATGATATAATAATAATAGATTAAATTTATTGATCAGACACAAATTTTAATTTTACTGTATTATGTATTAACAGTGCCCTCTCAAAAGTCATGGACAACCCTGTTGATCAATTAGTAAAACATATGAAAAATCTATCTTTTCGAAATTCAGTATTGTATATTGGCGTTATTTACTAAGTAAACAACAAAAATTTTATATCATTGTGAAGCTAATTTACTGTAGTTTTCGAACTAAATTTGAACAAGTTGTAATGGAGTTGTTATCCACTAAAGTGATGAGATATATGTTACACATACATTTTATATGATTTACATATGTGTAACATATGTCTTGTCACTTTGGCGGATAACAGCTCCATTACAACAACTTGTTCAAATTATGAATACTTTGTTCGAAAACTACAGTCAATAGCTTCACAATGATATAAAAATTTTTGTTGTTTACTTAGTAAATAACGCCAATACTGAATTTCGAAAAGATAGATTTTCATAATTGATCAACAGGGTGGTCCATGACTTTTGAGGGGCGCACTGTATGTGATCTAGAGAACTACACATCAATTGTCAAATATTCCTTTAGAGTGGGTGCCAATTCTACACTGCACTGCTTTGAGTAATCTTTCTCTTTAAATTATTAAGTGTATTTATGATGTAAAAGTCAACATTCAAATTCTTTTGTGCAAGCATGTCCAACAATGCTTCAAAGTTTGCAATTTGTTCTTCAGAATGCTCTTCTAATGTATCAATATTAATATGATTAAACATAATATGTATGTTCTCTTTTATTATTATGTCAATTGGTTCCTCTATTGGCAAAGCTGAAGCAGTTCTGCTATTCCTTTTTTAACTGCTTCAATTTTGCTGTATTAGTATTAGTATGTAGCATAATGTTACAGGGATTGAAGTTAGGGAAGCTGGTAAATATCCATGTGAGTCTAATGATTTGCAATCCCATATTTTAATCACAAAGTTAATCAAGCTCATTTAATTACTAATAATATGCCTATTATAATTACTATGTGTAATAATAAGAAATTAAGTAATAATAAGAAAATAAATAATTCTTGGTCAAGTGGTTGAAGTTGGGTTGATGTAGTTGGGGGTAAAAAGTGAAGTATGACATGGATAGTTCACAGATCATTGACTTTGTGACCAGAGACATTATCAACTAGCAAAACAATGTTGCAGTTTTAAGTGAAATGTGTTGTTAACTCTTCTAATATTAAGAAAACTTTCAATATAGAGGGTTGCATCAGACAGCTTTATTATAATAATACCATATACCAAGCATAATTTTATCAATTATCATGAACAGTAAATGTAGCCTTTCTTCCCCAGTTGCATTACAAGTTGCAAGTATAGATACATAATTCTTCAACAATTTTTTCCTAAAACCTGATGTGCAAGCAAGTGTTGTTTGAGGTTTCATTTTCCAAGACAGGGTTGTTTTATTGCAATTAAAAATGTTACTCGTTATAACCTTTAGAATAAAATCGATTTCAAATATGCATATTGTAGTTGCTTGGGCAATTTGACCAAATTGATGCTTAAATTGCCCCCAACAGAAACCAAATTGTGCATTCCATGATTAACTATGTCTGCTCAAAATAATAATTAAAATTCGACATTATTTTATGTTGATATTGTTGCCGGCCTCGGAGTCTGGGTCATTGGAAAGCAATAATTTTTTGCCTGGTTGTTCGCCGACCGGGGAATGTTCTAATTTAACTTTATTTTATCGCCATTTCTTTACTTCGTCAATTGCTTTTGCAACTGAACCTAAAATTCAAGTGACCTAATTTTAGTTATTATCGTGCGCGCTTCTTCACTCCCTATACGATGTACTTTACGCAAATGAGAGTATCTATGATATAAGAACAACAATTATTATACCACAGAATCAAAGATAAAAATTAATTAATTAATTATTATTATTACTATTATTATTATTCTAACTTAAACGGGGTAAACTTCGATTTGGTTTATTGACTAGTTAGGTAACCAATAATAATAATTAGAGACTCTCGTCCCGTTATTCGCGTAATTAATCAACAGATATTTTGCAGCTTAAATAAGTAGGCCGGCCGTTTATGCCAAAAACTTACAGCTTTTATGTAAACCGTTTTTATAGGTATATCCGGTTAATTAATACTTTGACGATAAAGTAATTCGATTCCGAAGTCGTCTGTTTAACAATTATTGAATAAAGACCAATATTTCAACAATAAAACATATCAAGTGTGTCAAAAATTCAAAACATTTCAAACGTGCTATCTTGACTATTGGATTCGAGCTTCCCATATATCTTTACCGTGACGGAAAATGCGGCACATATTAGTACAGTCAAAGCTTGTTATAATAGGACTACGTTATAATGGAATCGCATTATAAAGAGAAATTTTTTTAGAACACTATTTTCTAATATTAAAAATTGCTTGTTGTAATAGATTCTTATAGTAAATCGCGTTATTAACTATAATGGAATTTTTATGAATCGTCTATAACACAACTAATACACTATAATGGAATATGGATTCAGGAGAGGGGTCAAACTCAATATTAATATGATTTAACAGTTGACATATCTAAAAAAATATCTTTAACAATGCACAGAAACGTCAACTATGTCTTGACAAGGAGAAAAAGCCTACACCAACGAATGGCGAATTTGCATCAAGTATAGAAATCCGTCTCCGTAATCTTAATAGCAAAAGAAAAGTGGCTTGTACCGAATTCTGATGAATACTGCTCAAAATATGAGAACGTTGAACGCGCCTTGTAGAGTTGGGCATCCTGTAATCTCGATATTTGTACTGTTTTAAAGAAAAAAGCAATCGGCTTTGCGATGCTTTTCAGTATTGATGGGTTTAATGCGTGCTTTATTAATAGCATTACGGATGAAGATGTTGTACGGAGAGGAAATAGAGGTAAAGAAACGGAGGTGCTGAGGTTATGTTACAATTTTTCGAGCAATATAAAGTTAAAATTTTCTGAAATAATTTTATTTCGTTCAATTAAACAAAAGATGAGCTGTGTAGTTTCCAATAAAAGAAACAACTGAGGCGATAGCTTATCGATAATAAACTTTGTCGCAGTAATATCATTGTCTATACAGGTGAAACCTGTTTAAGCCGGCGGCCTGGTTTGCTGATTTTTGGCCGGTTTAGCCAAAGACCGGTTCAGAAGATTGTTTACTATAGAAAGTTTCTAATTAATGAAATTTGGTGTGGTCGCGACGCGGCCGATTAAACCCGGGACCGGTTTAATCAGCGCCGGTTTAATCGGGTTTTACATATGTCATGTAACAATTGATATAACTGTTATTTGTTGAATGCAATAAACGATCTGAGCACGTTTAGAAGATACAATGCCTTTTCTTCGTAAATGCTCGATTTATGATTGTGACTAAGTCTTTCATTTACAAGGAATATTCTGACGGCTTTATTATTAAAATTCATAATATCGCACTATAATGAAATTTCACGTGCAATAATTAAGAAGTCCATTATAACAAATCATGTACGTTATTGTGGACTCGCGCTTATAAGGGTTGCCCAACTGTCTATTATAACGAGCCACTGTATTACAGTATTAGCATACTGTAAATCAATGTTGATCATGGGTTTGTTCGATTTTGTCACATGACTTGCTTATCTGATTCATCAGATCGGCTTTGCCGCAAAAGTTTTTACAGCGTTTTTGTTAAAACGTGATGTCAGCATACGAAAGAGTCTTCCGCGCAGTGGCACATGAAACAGCAAAGCATCTGGGAAATCCGTCAATACAAAAGACGGCGCAAGATAATCAATGTTCCAGGTCCCAATGAAGAATCAAGCAAGTACGAACGAGTTAGATCGGCTACTCAACGTTATCCCTGTAAGGATGGCATGACAATGAAAGTTGATCTCTCCAGGAAAAGGGCGAAAATCTCGTTTAGCCATCAAAACAGTTGCCCAAAGCCAACGCATAGAGACTTTCATATACTCGCAGTGTTATAAATTGAAAAATAATGTTAGTTATGGCGGCATATGTAAAGTTGAACTCTATAAGAGACTATCTAGCAATGGATTAATTGACCTGGAAACACATATCAACAAGTTGGGTGGCAAAATTATCAACTTTTAAAACAAATCGAGAGCACTTTGAACTTTTCACTGTAATAGTCAATAATGGCACCATTACCTGGATACGTTTGTTCCATTAGAAACTTGACGGACAATCATAATGATAACAAAATCATGAAAGTGTACTTCGTAAATTTTGAGCTTTACGCCCTGAAAATGCACTCCCAACATTGGACAAGTTGGGAGATGAGATCGGCAAATATTTTGAGAACAATAATAAGGAATTGAAGTTGCCTTGGTTGATAAGGACATTAATGCAGTGGAGGCAGCATGGGATGAAAGAACAATTGTGCAAATCTGTCTCTGACATGGCCCGCAAAGAAAAAAAAAAACCAGCCACGGCACAGGCAGCTAACAGCTAGTTTGATTTTATCGATTACAATGGTGATCAAGTAGTAATAATACAACCCACAATTTGCCCAGAAGAAGACAGGAGGGTATAATTGTATCCTGTGTAAGAATAATAATTAGCTAGCATCTTAGTATTTAAAATTCACTCTTGTTTGCGTTTTTGCTTACCATCATTCTTTGAGTCCTAAATAAATTTGACTAATCTATTTATCCAATGCGGAGACGTACCAATTTCCTCAAAGTGAACCTGTTATGAATATAAAAGACGGTTTAAAAAGATAGAAGCGGAATTCTAATTGCGGGTTGCATTTAGTAGAATGAGCGTTAAATATAAACAATGAACTACTACCTACATATACAGCCATTTCTTTCTTTGAAATAAAGTATAATGAAAAGAATGTAAAATATCCGAATAGTTTAATTTTGACAGACTATTACTCCGAATGAATACGTGCGATCGCGGCAGTCTTCTAAACCATATGAAATTATACGAGATATGAATAGTAACCACGCTTGATGCTATCTAGCTTAATAGTATAATAATTTGTTTTCATAACAAATACAAATGGGTATAAAGTCTACATAATAGTGAAGAACAAACAAATATAAGAACTAATGTTGGATCTTTGATTGTCGATAAAATGACCTGTCGGTGAAATTGTTGTCGGCGAAACATTACGTCTGCGAAATAATTGTTGGTGTTATGATTGCCTCCATAATAATAATATCAAAAGGAAATTGTGAAATCAATTTGCAAATGTCCTCTGTCGTTGAACAACAATATCTTCATTGCATCGTATGGTGACGAATACAAAAAGCAATTGTCATATTAGAATCTATTCGGCAAAATAAATCAGCACGGAGATTTTATTTGTCATCGTATTGGTAATAGTAATAACGCGAAAGCAGTTAAGGAACATTTGCGGTAAATGTTGTAAGATTACATGCATCGGACAAATTTATCAGTATGTGACGCGTAGCTTATAAGATTAAATCGTAGTAGTAGATAGTAAAGTAAATAGTAATAATGATTGTAATCAAAGTGCTATACATAATATTAGTATTAATACAGTAGTGTACAAATATTATATGTCACGGACGATGAGTGCATCTCAGGATATGCCGATCTTGTCAAATGGCGTCAATGACGTTACAATTTCGATTTAATTTTATCCAATTACCGTAATTTCTCCAGTCTTCTCCCCTAAAATAACCAAGCGTACCCGGATTACTGTCCAAATTGAGCTTGAACGAATGGAATTCACGAAAAGCAGAGGTTTCTGTCCGCGGGTTTCGAAAGGATGTGTGCAATAGATTTCCTAGAATCAGTTCAACTAGTTTCTTTTGGTGATGAAGATGCGAACCTGCCGTACAATTTGTGACAAACTGAATAGACTTGGCCTAAGCTCTCCCTCCGACACACTGAGGATAAGCTATGAAAACTGCACGTATAACTCTGGTCATTCTTCTCACGGTCGAGATTGATTCCGTCTTGGATGAAGAATACTGTTACTGGCGTGGTGCAAAACCTTTGCCGAGGAGGAATGAGAATGGCACCCTATTTCGTCACGTTAATCATTCACGGTTTTTATATTCAAATGTTGAGATACTGGTTAGCTGATGAATTGTGATTATAGTTTTGTGTCGTATCTAAGTTTAATATATTTTTGATTAGGTGACTATTAATATTATGTCAAGTCAGACATTCTTTCTTCAGATGATCCCGATATTTTTGCCGATCTAAATTATGAAGCTTTCTGTCAGTGAATTTCTCGAAGTATTGATCCCCGAATCTGATAAATGACGACTGAATGAACTATCTGTCACTGTTACATCCCTCATTTCGCCCATTACAGTCGACAGATTAGTCGAACAGCTTGCGGTCTTAACATACAACATTGATTTTTATCTAACTCTGTTTTTCAATAATAGGATATGATTTGATGAGTTTTATATCAAGCACGGCGAAGTGGAAGAAAAGCGTTTTGCTGTTGGGATGGACTATTTCAGCGAGGACGTCGGAATGATAAAAACGTATGATAGCATTGAATTTATATTTGTAAGAAGAGTTTTTCATATTTCCACACCTCTAATTATATACTTCTTTTTCTTTAGATTTTAACAATTGAAGTAATCCATGAAGCCGACAATCCCCATTCACAAGTTCAAACTCGTAGTGGTGCAAGTATGTCAAGTATCTAGTTCTCATGCACAGTCAAAATTATGAATAGCCCCGGTAAGATGTTCAAGCTATTGGAAGTTTATTACGCGATTCTAGACGATATCTAACTGATACCTCAACGTTCTGCACTAATTGATTATATAGGACACGACACTAGATGGATATGATCTTGGCAAACTTCCAAGAGTCGAACCAGGTTTCCTAAGGGCGATAAGTCGATAGCGGAACAAGCACCATGAAGATGAAATGAACTTTGAAATTGTTGCGTGCCGTTGGGAATTCAAATCTGGGAGTCCAAAAAGCTCGTGTTGTAGATCGAGCATATGCTGTGAGCGGACAAAGATTATTTTTGGAAAGTGAATAGCTCTACTCATACCTGTAATTGAGGCTTTAACCGGGGTAACGGTTAAGGGTTTATATGAGAGCTTGATGACTTCAATGTTAGATAACTTCTGGTCATTGAACTAACATGTGACTTTCAATCTTTTCGCTTTGGGTTCAGCATAGCGATACAAGCAGTAACATGTATAATTAATGATGTCATATGGAAATGCCCGAGTACTTTGGAACCAACAAATGTACGTTCTGTATCTGGTAAGTACGCGTCGAAATGGAGGGATTTTCTAACTTACCTCTAGACAAATTGATACTAAAGAATAAATGTATTTAGTACAGATATATAGACTCGGCCCTTTCTTCGTCATTCAAATCTAGCCTGCAGGAATAGTTGAAATGTGAATTCATGGGCGTGGTGCCGACCCGCGTACCTGATAATGGTTCAAGTTCCTTTTGTGCGCGAGGTAACGACGAAGAGCAGATTTATTCTCGCAACTCTTGTTTGTACATTACGAGGACTTTATTTGATCTTTCAGTTTTGCTTTCACATCAACAACAGCTCGGCGCACGTATGTTTTTTCTTGTCACTTCTATCTCCATAAGTATAGCATCGATGCTGTTCGGAATAGACAGCTTCTTCACGCGGGCGTGTAGATCTTCAAACGATTCGGGTTTTGCAAGAGTGAGCAGTCGAGTCAGTCGGTCAAGCGTGAATTTTATTATAGCTCCGAAGACTATCATTGATAACACAGCGGTTATGAGACAGTTATGAATATATATGGGAGTTTTTATAATTTGCCAAGCCAAATCCCTATTCTTCTGGTTTTTGAGGACTTGCTCGTCATTCACGTGATTAATCAAGGCAAAAACTTTTCCAGAGTGGGCGAGCAAGTGGCAGTCCCAGTAGAAATAGAATCTGTATTCCTCTTCCTACACTGGTTCAGCAGGGTGTCAGGATATCCTGTAGGGAAATGGCGAGCTCCAAAACGTGAGCTGCAACCGATATCAAGTTCATCAACAAATGAACCTTAGTATTAGCTATGGCAATAGACATAATTGCAATATCATTTAATTAATAGTATGCATGGATGGCAGCGCTGTTGTTATGGGAAGGCTAGTTCAATGAAGTCTTCTAAATTTGGTAGCCAACGCGTCGCTTTTCTTCAAGTTCAGTTTCGGTTCCGGTAAAAGACGATTGCGATTGGCAAAACTGACATTCTGACATGATGGGCAACAGTTTGACTGATAACATTTGGTAGGCAAGGGCTGGTGAGTAACAACTCACTTGGATCATCGACGCTCTCGAGGGCATAGATTATATTTATCTCACTCTGGATCTGGGTTTTTATCATACTTATTGACATTGACATTAAATTGAATAGGATCAAGTCGGGTTAGAATTGCACTATACGAAGCCGCCGAACGAAAACACTGGTATGAATTGAAATGTACCTTTATTCTTATTACTCGGCTTACCGTTTGTCTAGTCATACAATAGCTATGACGGACGGCGAAGGCGGTAATTTTCGCCCAGCATAAGTAGACCAAGCTTAGTACGTTTGACGCCGCTGAAACCTGAATTTATTGGCATGAATCATAACATTTAATTAGCGCAATTAATAAAATTCTTAACACAAATATTACTATTTCAATTCAACTTATTCACCTCCTTCCCCAGATTCTATTTACGGGCAGAGTATCAAGTGTGAATCTCAACAAGCACAACATGAGCTCCGTATAAAGCAGGAAACTTTCTTGTATCCAAGAACGTTAACATATTGATTCTTGACAATTATTATAGTGCGACGAACGGGCATAAATGTATAAACTATTGAAATAAGTTATAGTTACGAAACTTTGGATGTTGATATAATAGACTAATTTTATGATCTTCATATGCGTTAGTGTAATCATTAATCATCAACAAAGTTGGGATGAAAAATTGCTCATGAATAGAAAAAATTTAAACTTGAAGAGAGCATGAAATATAGTGTAGTAGAATATATGTTGGAATTGAACGTTAGTGTATTGCAGATTGGGGTCGTTTTCAGCCGCTGGATCGTCGATGATAAACAAATTCATTTTATTCAATTGATTTTAAACGGCGTATACTTGCAAGCATCAAAATTCTCAGTTCCGGCAAACTTTATAAGTAATACCTTACTAGCTTATTTATTCCTTCTCAAACATGATACATCAGTCTAAATAAACACTATTCCATTTATCCCCAGGAGACCCATTCTTATCTATTTCCTTGATAAGATTACTAATATATGAATGAATTGTCCATACTTTCTCTGGACGGTTGTTAGGATCAGCATCACAACAACACTCAGCAAGGCTCTTGTATTCCACTGGTGCAGATTGTGGCATGGCAGGCCGCAGTCCATTCTTAATATCACGTGCTAAGTTGCTATCAAGTAAGCGGTTTCTAAAAGGAATTTTGCCATTGGCAACCAAATACATAGAATACCAAAAGCATATATGTCTGACTTTGGTGTATACTTGCAAGTATCAAAGACTTCTGGTGCAATAAAAGGTGTGACAGCTTGCATTTTTGACTTTTGATTTGATGCTCGTGCCTGTGAGTGACGGAAGTCACATATGAAGGCTTTGTTTGAAGCAACGTTATCATAATATTTTGTCTTAACCATTATATTTCGACCATGAAGATTGCAATGTACCAACCCACTGCCATGGATACCATCCAGACAATATGCAATCTCTCCTAAATGCTGTAATTTCATCTTCCATGTCATTCTGTTAATATTTCGATTCAAGTAAGACAAAAGATTGCCATGGTCAGCATATTGCATTACAATCATATAGTCTTTTGTCTCTGGTTGTTGTGTAATTCCATAAATTTTGAAAAGGGTATAACACTTGGCATAATTCCTGAACTATTAGACAAGAAAGTAACAGTTAAGTTTAAAAAAATTAGAGTTAATTATATTAGATATTAGAGTTGCTTACTTCAGAAATAAGTAATTCTGGCATTTGATGAAAGTTTTTAAAGCTCCTGAGAACAACAGAGTCATCTTCAATGAAGAGTTCATCATTGTTGCAAACCGCAGTGTAAACAGTTTCATAAGCACCAGATCCAATTTCTTTTATTTCATCAAAATCAGTATAGTCCATAAACTTAAGCCAACCACTTTGTTGTATAATACCATCCAATATTGTATACACATCATTGTAGAATACCAAACAATAGTCTTGGGTAGATGGATTTTGAGTAATTCCAATAACCCAAATGTTATCTGGGGTCAATATCTCTGGATAATGTTTGGTCAGCTGTTTGATCAAATGATGCAATGAGTTACAATTTTCATTTAAGAGACGTGATGCATATGAGATAATATTATTTTAGTGAAAATGTTTACCTGATAAAAATCAAATGATTGACTGTTCTCTCCATCAACTACTGTTTTGAATATTACTTTTATCAATTTATTAGTTGTTGATTCTAACCAATCTGCCATATGTGTGCACCTATGCTGTAATAGTGTCATCTCTTGTATGTTTATCAATTGGGAATACTCTATCCATTGTATATAAGCATCAGTTTCATGCTCCGCATTACTCCATGAATTCATTATAAATGAATCCAAATACTTATGGCCAGTAGTCCAATCAAGAGGTCTTGGTGCCTTGCACCGATTCCAATTGCATTGTACATGCAAGACACACTCCTAGATTGTGTTTTTCTTTTACTAAAAAATATTTCTCTTCTGCTGGATCATATGTAAATCCAATAGTAATCCAACTGTTTGGAATAAAAATATCTGGGTGGTCATCACACAACTAATGGAATTAAAGACTATGTTAAGTTGATAATAGATAGAAGGCTAATTAACATATTATATATTGGATAATTTACCTTGTCATAATATGTATCATCCATTTCATCTGCTATCTCAAGTGGAATTAATTCTACAGTTACATATGAAGCTGGTAAAGTATATAGATATATATCGTTTTCTTCAACCTCATCATCAAACGTAATGAAATCAAATGGAATCCATTCTAAATAGGCATCATTTGCTGATTTTGTTTGTCTTTGTGATTTTTTAATAAACTCATCTAGTTTTTTATTGTTGCTAGTCCAAAAATCGGATAGTTCTTTATATCCACAAACACACCACACTGGACTGCACCTGAGTATTCCACACATAGAACAAAATCCATATTGCGAGTAAAAATGGTAAAAGTCCCTATCAACAACTACATAATAAATTCCTTTATACTCTGTGAATCCTTCTATTAACCCATTGCGACTGTCAAGCCACGATACATATCTCTTGAAATGACTAGAAGAGACATTGTCCGTGTAATTGCACGTTGGGAGTGAGTACATCCTCGCAAATTCACTAATGAACTCCGCTGTGCATTTTTCGTCATTCCCGAGCGACAGCAGAACCACTTTCTGGTCCCATCTTCCAGTGCAGGAGATGAGTTTTACGGTGCTATCGGTAATTGTCTTCAACTTTACATCACGAAACGCTGACCAATCGAACCAGGTAAGATCGGGTAAAGAGGATTCAACTAGTCCGTCAATCGCCTGACGTCCTGACATGTTTTTAAGTTTTTCGAGAAAGCTGAAACTTTGAGGATATTCGTAAAAGCCGAGGCTTCAAAGTAAACAATCGCTCAATGCTTGTGATATTGTACCACGTTCGTACGAAATCACATGCACCTCCGAGAAAGGAAACGTTCCTCGTACAAGATACACATACAATTGACTCGACCGAATCGTTAGCTTTGTGAAATATGTATACCTTAAGATCGTTCTTTTACTTCTTGAAACAGCTTTTCACGTATATCAGATCTGGATCATAAAAACGTGGGAGAACCAAATGACAAGAAATAGTCAATCACAATGTGGTTTGTCCGGCACATACAGCCCGTGCAGGAATCAAGTTTCAATCCTACGACGACGCTTTACGTAAAATTCTGAAACAGTTATAAATCGGATATTATTTTTTCGACTTAACATTAACAAAGCAATTATCTGTGTTCTGTAATCAAAAAAAGAAGCACCAACCGTTCGGAAAAAACCCTCATCTCAATGTTAATCACCCAATAAGAATCTGAGAATAGTGTATGCAGGAGGTGCCTTTATCAATTAAAACAGCGGCCGCACACTATATTTGTTAAAAAAAATCTTAGACTCCAATGTTACCTTGTAAACATTGATTGTTTAAGATCGGTACCACATCAACTTATTATTCGTGAATCATAAATGCACAAGATCAAAACCACTCTCCATCTTTCAATTAATAAATAACTTTATTTAAAAATAACTAACAAAATTTGCGCGCTAATATTAAGCTTGTCAGTTTACCAAGAAAGACACCAACAAAAAAAAAAGCAATATTGATAAAAAAAAACCAACTACAATTGTTATTAATTCAAGTCTGCCTCAAAAGTTATAATAATAATAGAAAGACAATTGCGTCTACTCCACTTCCATATTAACGACTTTTCTTACTATCTATTACAGTCCCATTGTTTCTAATATCACTGGTGAAGAAGACAATACATATCTGAAGTCACCGAACACTTCAAAAAAACAGAAGGCACTAAATCTCAGTGTATTCACGATGTATCATATTCAAAGCAAAGGTATCTCTCTCCCGTCTATCTACATACCAGTTTAGGTCGTTCTGCTGGCGCAAACCCTTTTGAATATCGCTCGCTCACTGGGCAAATGGGTTATTCTAGAAACAGAAGAACGCAGACACTTTATTCACTCTGATAATCGTTGGTGTCATCGTGATTGGCTCCAACAATAATCCTTATCTAATGGCCTATCATTCTTTGGCTTCACGTTTAACTACATAAAACTCTAATTTATCTCCTACCGTTTGGCCACAGGCCACGCAAAGGTCCCACGCCTTTTAGCGCCATTCCACGCACCTACATTGCTGGCTTGGGACGCCCATTGTAATTTTCAATACGTCACTAGTAAAGACTTTGCACGTTATGACTAAATATATTTCCATAGCTGAGCCATCTCATATTTTTAATATCAATGAAGGTAATCGTTATTACCGTCATGTACTTGGTAGAAGACTAGATGCTATGGAAGTAATTTATTTGATTACTGGTGAAACTATATGCAATTCTTCTGCAACTGTAAACTTTTTACCCACCGAACCACCTTCGTTTCGATATTGCCAGTTCACAATTATTACACAATCCAGAAAATTCTTATTATCCCGATGCCATTGAAAAATATTTTCGTAGACCTCTCGGTGCTGATTTTGAACATTTGAAATATGAGGAATACTATCAATTATATCAAGTCCACCCTGCAAATAGTAATGTTGCAAATCGAGGCATAAGGGATCTTGATGGTCGAATAATAATTTACACGCACTCGCTTCCTCAAATTAAACGATGATGGTGAATCATTTTTTTACAATCGTTTATTACAAACTACATCATGGAGATCAGAAGATAGCTATAGAAAACATTATAAACATTATTAATGGATGAACAAACTCGATCATAATCACCATTATTGATTCCCATTTACAATCCATACAACAAGTCAACATTACAAATATAGACATTCTTAAATTCCAATTGTCAGCTTTACAAAATTACCTCATATCACCCCTCACACATCAATAGCTGATTTACCAGACGACCAATACAATGCATTACTGTGTTAACGAACATGATGGGCTCTCGTAATAATCAGTGGCCATATTATTTTTTTAACTGATTCAGCAGGTACGGGCAAGTCTTTCATCATACATATGTTCCGCAATTACCTTCATTGTAAGAAAATTAAACATCTTGTATTGGATCCGACTGGTGTTGCTGCTCAAAACATTGACGGACAAACTATACATTCGGCACTAAAAATATTATCCACCAATATACAATAGTTACAATCTTCTTATCAGACACTTTTATTCGATGTCACCTTACAATGACATGAAAAATATAAACACTCTTATTATGGATGAGATAGGTATCCATAATTTCTGCCAGTTTATTTACTTTTCTTTCCGACGTATTTGCTAAATTGCATAACAGCCACAAACCTTTCGATGGTATCATTGTACTGGTCACAGGCGATCTATTTCAACTATCTCCAGTACGCGGAACAGCAGTTTTCAATTCAACGATTTGGCAGCTGTTCTATCCACTCATTTTGCGCAAATCTCAACGTCAACATGAGAATGATCGAACTTTCAGTCTATTAGAGGTAGTGCGCTTAGGCAGAATATCAGTGACAGGGTGGACTCATCCATTGATTCTTTTAATTCGACCTTTATTATCGGCTACAAGCAGTCAGCAGAACAAATTAACGTATCACTCTGCAACTTATTGGAGACGGCATGCGAATATGACATTAACATATTAATATAATAAGCACGGCCGTCGACAAAGTTAATGACAAAGACTAGGATAGTGAATATTTTCAGCGTATGTTCAAACAACATACCAATCTTCCGGTCTGTGTTAGGCTCCAATCTGGTGCGCGCGTAATGTATCTGATGAATGACATGATAACTAAAAGAATATGTAGCGGCACAGTAGGTGTGGTTACGCAAATTGAGCCACAAACTCGGCATATTTACGTGTCATTTCTCGGTACTGGACGTTTAATTCATGCATTAATCTCCCCTACAACATCCATCCTATTTTTGCATCAATGACACGAATGCCTCCCGTCGACAATGTCTCCACAAAACTGCTTTGCGTTAACTGTACATAAATCCCAAGGGTTAACATTACCACACGTGTCTTTGTTTTTGGATAAACAATTTTTCGCTGCAGGCAAAGCATACACTGCCCTAAGTCGTGCACCTTCTTGGGATAATGTCCAAATTCCTTGCTTGGATAAAGAAGCTTTTCTGTTGACACTAACGTCCTCCGCGAGTACGAACGCTTGGAAAAAAAAGCTACATTGCATCCACTTTTCTCACTTTTATTGTCTCTGGCAACATCCATGGTATTTTTCTGACATCTCATCCCATCTGACTTTATTCTTCATATGAATACCTTAATACTATGTACTTCTATAATCTTTACTATATTTTTTTTAACAAAATAAATTTATTACCCTATTTTCATAAACGATAATGTATTTGTTGTACCAGTATATACTTAGCTCCCCACATGAAAATCAAAAATGGCGGATTTCTGATTGCTGATTCGATTCCCTTGCGTGTTCGCTCCCATCATTCCCTATTTACATGATCACAAGTTGCACCGCCAATTCTGATGCTGTAATGGTTTTTTGCTGCTCCACCGCCACCGGCCACAGGCAGGGCGGGCGCGGGTGTTTTTGGACCGTTTTGTGTGGTGTGTATGTGTATGCGCGTTGGTTTTGTACCGTGGAGGTCTTTTCTCTCTTCGTAATTATGGACTTTTTTTTCATTACACACACAATAATCTACCGGATATGTACAAGCTATGGTCCAGATGCTCCACATTATCCACTGCTAGTCTCTCGAGGGTTTTCAATCGAAGGGTAACGTAATCAAGAC